ACAGTACATGCTGCTATGAATACTATGAAAATTGATGCATTAAACCAGAAAAAAGGTAGAGATTTAACAAGTAACCCGGAACTTTGTTTTCCATTATTTAGTCTATAACCCCCATCCTTACAGCCCATCATTTGTAGAGCTTTTCAACTTCTTTTACTTGTTCATGCTTTGGTCAGTAGTAGCCCAAATTAAAAAAAAATAATAATCTACAGACATTCACTAATTTACTTAATATTCCTATTAGTATAGGAAAGTTAAGTTTAAAAAAAACTGTGGCAGATCAAACTTTGCAGTTATGTTTGTAGCTGTGGAATAACCATATGTGCTTTATCAAAACTGGCAAAAAGTTATTTTTCTATCATGCCCAACTGTCAAGTGACAATTTATAAAAAAAAAAATAAATAGTGAAGTAGGAATGCATGCAGCTTTTTTTTAAAGCGAGAGTTAACTCTTATTTTCATGACTTTTTCTTGTTTACTGTACATGTTATGCTTAATTTGAACGTGTGTGACTGCTAACTTTGACAGGTCTCCATTTAAAGGAGATTCCTGATCTAAATTGGACTTCTTAACAAAATAAAACAATCCAATCTAAAAACACAAACAATCCAAGACATTTTTTGTCTAGTGACAATTTATTAAGAGGGATCTTTGGTTTAATCCTCTTCGTCCTCCTCCTCCTCATCCTGGTTGATCTGGAAGTAGCGCAGCTCGTAGCTTTCCTTGGTGTTTGCCACAACCCGCAGCCAATCCCTGAGGTTGTTCTTTTTCAGGTATTTCTTGGTAAGATATTTCAAGTACCTAAAAGACAGTGGCATGAGTGAGTTCAAGTATGTAATAAGAATCAATGAAATAATGCATACTTCCATAACCGGATCAATGGGTTTTAATGTTTTAACAAAGAAGATTTAGTTTACATAAAGGGTATTTGCAACATTTCCATATGGCTTCAAGATTCAATGCGACTTTATTTAAGACTTAGCACCACAGTGACCCCTGGTGGCCATATTGCACAACACACAATTGTTTTGTTTATTTTATGCTACATTTTCATTATTTAAAAAAACAACAACAATGTGACAGAAACAGATATTATTGATTTAAACTTATGTAAAGCTTTTTTAATCATTAAAAGTTTTAACAATTTGTGTGAGCAGTAAAAAAAAAAAAAAAACATCTGCCAGTTTTTCTTTAATTTTGAGAATGCTTGTTAATGCCCGATGGGATCAATTTTATAATAGTATCATAATAAAGTGTTTCCTTTCTTTATTGGTAAAACATGCTACAAAATATAATCAATTGATTCCTCAATTTTAAATATGTTGTCATTCTGAACACAAAACATTGAGGGAAAAGTTTAAACAATGAAGCAGACAGCACATATGCTAAACCGTTTTACCAAATAAAAATGATAGAGTGACTTATGCCATCCTGAACCATTTCTATAGTTACAGTGCTATAAGCTGGGGTAGGTGAACAAATCCAATTTCTACTACTCTGATCTGACACGTTGAGTTATTGTTGCCAGCAATTTTGTTTCATCTCACTGTGATTTCTCCTCATAGCATGGTATTTCTGTTTAGCTGTAATACCTTCCAATTTTTTTTCTCTCTCTCTTTTTTTTTTAGATAAAACTAAAAAGTTTGTATATCATCAAGGAGGAGTGGAGAGGGACATAATCCATGTTTCTTGTAGTCCAGCTAACCAAAATTTCATCTAATGTTTGCCCATCGTTTTCTGAGGCCCACAGTTAACCCAGCCGTCCAAGGACGTTTCTTTGATCACTAATAAGCTTTGTTGATCTGCTCATTTTATTTTTCACAGGGGACTTGAAACCTGGCCCAACTACCAAAGGTACCAAAAGACGGCTTAATGACACTTCTGTAAGTGTGCTTAATTGACAAGCAAAAATTGATCTAAACACCAAAGAGAATTTCAAGAGGTGTCTGCCTGCAGACCTGCATTGTCAGGAGCTGCACTGTGAGGTCTCCTGAGCTGTTAGAACCAGAAGTTTATTCAAAGACGTTCAAAGTAAAAGGAAGTTGATTTGAAACCTTTCTAAGGTAAGAGTGAGTGTTGATACCTTAGACTTAGACAAACTTTATTGTCTAAGTCTTTATTGTTTATTTTCATACGAAACTAAATTCCGTTTTATACAGCTCTCATGACATTTCCATTTCTTATTAGCTGGATGTAGCATTTGTATTTTGATAGACATCCAATGAGGCAGTAAAAATAACTGCACCTCTACTTTGTTTACATTTAAATAAACAGCCTGTTGAATGAACACGTCCATGACCATGTTCTGCAAAATGCAGAATATGGTCACAATTTCTGGGACATCAGGACAGAAGTGGGGAGTGGTGGCCCAGTGTTTAGGGCATAGTGCTTTGAATCCTGAGGTTCTGAGTTCGATTCCTACCCCCACAGACTGCCACTCTGGCTCCCTGAGCAAGACCCTTAACCCGACACTGCTCCCCGGGGATGGGTTAAATGCAGAGGTAAATTCCTCCAATGTGAGATCAATAAAGTTCAATTTTAGGAGCGAAAAAAATGCAGCTCAGTCACGTGCAGATCGGACATTTAGTCAAACACATCATTGCATTGTAGGCTTCTGTTATACAGCATGATAGCGCTTTCAGTTACACACAGCATTGGGCAGATGCAATAACATCATATCCAGGATATGTCTGTCAATTTCAGTATCGAAACCTAAAGAGAAATGTGATCAATGCTTTTCCAATAGGGGTAGGGCATTAGTTTTCTCATAAAGGATTATTCAGGAAAAATGCCAGGATGTAGGACACCCTTATCACAATCATCAAACCTGTTAAAAAAATAAATAAATAAAATAGGAGGGTGCAACTGATTTTGGCTAATCATTCAGCCAAGTTTGCAGTTCAGTTTTCCCACTTTATATGTAAACACCAGAATTTCCCCATTGAGCAACAATAAAGGGTTTTTCTTTTCTATTTTATTCTATTAATTCAACATAACATGTATTTGTTACTTTGTTTGGCAAAACCAAGAAATATTTATCAAACAGATATCCTCTCATTACCAAAACCACAGCTCTGTATATTATGTTGATCCAGGTGTCTGTGTGTCTAATTCTGCAGCATGTCAGTGCAGCTATGCATGTTGTACCTCTTTGAGAAGGGAACCTCTGAGTTCACTGCAATTTTACTCTTGCTCCTCTCAATGGAGACCACTCCTCCACCAAGGTTTCCAGCTTTGCCGTTCACTTTAATGCGCTCCTGCAGGAACTGCTCCTGGATGAGAAGAAGACACAGGGGAAAACAAAGGAGGCAGGAATCAGTACATTAGTTAAAAACAAACATATTCTGATCAGCTATCGGAAGCATCACGCTCTCTAAACACCGAGGTCAGATTGGGTTCTTTCCAACATGTTTGTGGATCTACTCACAAAGTTTGCAGCGTCCATGATGCCATCCTCCACAGGATGAGTGCAGTCCAGCGTGAACTTAAGGATCTGCTTCTTCCTCTTTCCACCGGGTCTCCTCACTGCAAGCTTCTTCTGGAATACAAACACACATTATTAGGTGACAGGAAGTTAAAGAGCTTGGCCACATTCCTATCGCTGCTAGCATTAGCTGTATCCCCCCCAATACAACGTGCCCTGAAGTCGTAGCACTATTTAAAGATTAATAAAAAGACTTTACGGTGACAGCAACTGCAGCATATTAGTCCGACTACATACACAGCTGTTATAACACAAATAAGCAAAGACATATTCTCTTTGTACACTTTATTTAGTGTTTCTACTACTCACTATCGGAGCCATGGCTGACACGTTCAGCGAAAGGAAAGAGCTCAGGCTGCGCAGGGAATAAAAGGCTCCGCTGCTACATCGATCGGATCCACTTATCTGGAATCGATTAAGTAGACCTGTTAAAAAATGTTGGGGTTTTTGTTGCTGAAACTACAGAAGAGGAACTGATTTTTAAATTTTATTTCAGTATAATATGGAAAAAAAGAGATTAAAGTCAAAATTCGGAGAAAAAAGTCCCATATCATACTGAAATAAAATTTAAAATTCAGTTAACTTTTTTTTCTTTTTCTTTTTTTTTTCCCCAGTGGCCCTAGTCCTCTTCTGTATGAAACACATTCATACTAGTCAAAAGTTTTTCACCTTCTTTTAGGAAGTGAATAAATTAAGTCACTATTTGGTGAAAGATACTATATTCTATATTTGTAACAGAAAAATTGCCAGAAAATAGTTTGTTTATATATATAAGCATTTTATGTTTGCATAGGCAACCAAAGTTTGCATGTTGTTTGCTTTTAAATTAAAATTTTATATAGAGGTTTGTGTGTATTTTTACTTGATCTGGTTTGTAAATCAGTTCTTCTATCAGTAGAGGAAAAATTGCTTATTTTTAGGGCTGCCTGCAACTAACGATTATTTCCATTAATAAAAGAATAATTGGATAGCCAAAGGTTCCTTAAAGCCTTAAAGACATTTTACAAAAAAAGACCAAAAAACAGGCGAAACTGAAGCTTTTCCCCTTGAGGAAACTGGATAGACCATATTGACAGATGAAAAATATATATTTTTTATCTTAAATAGAA